GTATTTTTGAACCCATGTTGTTTTGAAAGCCACTTCGCATTATCAAAGAAGAAAAATACTCTCTTAGAAGTTCAATATGTCTACCATTACAAATTCCAGTGAACCTATTCATTAATGTTTGTAGAAAAAGCTCTTCAAATACTTTCAACCTGTGTTATAAAACAGGATAAGATTTGGAGGATATAAAGACAGGGCAATCAACTAATTAGGGTTTGCTTGGAACTTTTTCAGCTTTAGCACTGAAAGTTCTGCGCCCCAGGAAATCATTCTGGGCAAACTGAAATGGTCACCTTATGCAGATGCCTTTAAAACCAAGAATCCAAGAATATCCAAATCCTACTTTGTCATGGAGTCCTAGTGTGGCACCACAAGATAAGCACTTGTCCACAAGGTTTGTTTGAATCACAAATTTGGCAGTTCAAACTCATGAGTCACTCCTTGGAAACTCTGTACAGGGTTGCTCTGAGTTGGAACTGACTCAATGGTACTTAACAACACCACCTTTGTTTTAGTTCCCAAACTTGCCATGAAGCTCCTGAAAAGGACATATACAAAAACTGCAGCAAAAGGTAAACAAAACCAGTGTCACTATCATTAGGCTTATGTAGTCCTGATACCTTTACTGCAGCTACCAGAGAGCTACACAGACCAGTCTAAAGACCTAAGGATTCTACATGGCTCCTCTAAACCTAAGTTAAAATCTTAGCGTTTAAAATCCTTTGGCCTGCAGTAAATAGAAACAAAGATAAACAGGCTTGGACATATTTGCAAGGTAGAGGAGAAAAATAGTTGACCTGGGCCTGTTGGCTCAAATTCTCTCTCTTGGTCCCCAGAAATATGATGCAGAAGAGGGAGCCCTGCTGTGTGCTCTTTCATTGCTGAGTAACTCTTCTAATGAATAATGGATACATATGGCCTAATCCATGTCCTAGAATATAATGACATCTCTCCCCTAGGGTGAGCGAGCTAAGAGTGGGAGTAAGCAGGAAAGAAAATCCTGTACCACGGTAACAACAAGATGAATGGCAGAGGCACAAAAGTGTCACCGTGTGTATATGTGAAATCTGTATAAGAAACTAATTTTCAAAACCAACACTTAATTGCAAAGTAATAGAAGCCTTTTTAGTTTCTTTAGTAGACAATTTATTTTGATAAACTTGCTCAATAACAAAAATACAAGTGAAGAAAATTATGTCCATTTTATACAGTTTGTATTAACAATTTGTTTTGAAACTATTAATTGAAAAATATTATAACCAATTAGAAAATAATTCTTAATAAAGCTTGGGATAGTATACAGACCTTGATCACAAACTTTTCAATCTCTTGAGGTTATACAACTAATTAAGTCCTGTGTAGGGAATCCTACCTACACAAACCATTATTTTCCTTCATAAATTTTTATCCTTCAAAATTTTCTGAAAGACAGCTTACTATTTTGAATTGTGAATGTAAATTTAGTTTTTTAAAGGAGCTCAAAGTGGGTTGATTGTGACTAGTAGTCTTTTAATAAAGATAAAATAATTGCAACATGCTCTTTCCAGGAAGCCCATGATGCAAAATTATAGCGAAGAGTATAACCAAAGTCCGTTTCCAATACTTTGTTTCAGGGTCTTTTCTCTAAATCAATAGATTGCTCGTCACCAGGACTATTTATTATTATCTAAGAGATTAAGCAATGAATTCAAAGAACATCAAATGGGATATCAAAGGTTTAGGCAACAGGGTCAAAGCCAATTAAGTGTTTTGGTCATCTAGAACATTAAAG